GAAAAGTCGGGTGAGAAATGGGGAAAGACAAGGAAAAGGCGCTAAGTAACAGTAACGACGAATAAGGGAAAACTGTAATCGGGAGATTTGGGGTCATTCCAGAAGGCTTGGCAAACGTTATTGAATAGAGGGGGGCCGGGCCGGCCGCATAAAATCTCGAGCCGCGGATACACACTAAAAAAGAAACATATTTGAAAATTCTGACAAGTCGAGAACGGTACAACGAATCGTCTTCTTTCTCTAATAATTTAATGAAATGTCAAAGCTTCCGCGCATCGTTCGGGAGGGAGGCAACATAATTCAGACAAGGATTGGGAGTCGAGAATGGTAAAATGAATCATCTTCTTTCTCTAATAATTTAATGAAACGTCAACATTTCCGCGCTTCGCGCGAGAGGGGGGAAACTGAATTCAAACAAGGATTAAGAGTCGAGAATGGTACAACGAATCGTCTTCTTTCTCTAATAATTTAATGAAACGTCAAAGCTTCCGCGCTTCGCGCAGGAGGGGGGGGGGGGCTCAATTCAGACAAGGATAAAGATTCGATGACGGTACAACGAATCATCTTCTTTCTCTAATAATTTCATTAAAGGTACTATGTCCCTTTTGCAGCCAACCTCAAATGCTGTAGAACTTCGCAGGAATTATGAATATGTCATGTATGTCCTATCTGTGAAATTTAAACGTTAGCAGTGTCCTCATATTCATATTATGCAAGGAAACCTGTTTACTTGCTAGACTTCACTGTCAGACACTATTGAGTGACTGACTGGCATTTTTTTTCTTTGGTAATAACATACATGAAAAGAGTTGTAAAGGGTACATGAGCATTTGTCTACATCAATAACCCACTTCTTGTGATGGCCAAGATTAAACTGATTGAATCTTTGCGCAGCATAAAACGTTTGACCATCCGGTACAATTGTCAGAAAATCAAGACTATTACTTTCGGGCTTTATAGCCCTAAAGTCGATTTGACAACTAATAGTCGTTATTTTCCCACTTGAAGACATTTTCAAGCCCTACCTTTTTTAGGGAAGTTCTAAATTAGTATTATCTATCAAATGCAGTTGGAATTTAACTTTTTCATTTTTTTGGCCTGCAAATGGGACATAGTACCTTTAAACTATGAAAGGCCAAAGCTTCCGTGCTTCGCGCGGGAGGGGGGCTGAATTCAGGCAAGTAATAAGAGTCGAGAATGGTACAACAAATCTTCTTTCTCTAATAATTAATGAAAGGGCAACTGAGCTTCCGCGCTTCACGCGGGCGGGAGGAAACTGAATTCAGACAAGGATTAAGAGTCGAGAATGGTACACCGAATCGTCTTCTTTCTCTAATAATTGAATGAAACGTCAAAGCTTCCTAGCTTCGCGTGAGAGGGGGGAGGGAACTGAATTCAAACAAGGATTAAGAGTCGAGAATGGTACAACGAATCGTCTTCTTTCTCTAATAATTTAACAAATTGTCAAAGCTTCCGCGCTTCGCGCGGGAGGGGGGGGGGGGGGGGGACTCAATTCAGACAAGGATAATGATTCGATGACGGTACAACGTATCATCTTCTTTCTCTAATAATTTAATGAAACGTTAAGCTTCCGCGCAAAGCGCGGGAGGGAAAAACTGAATTCAGACAAGGATTAAGAGTCGAGAATGGAACAACGAATCATCTTTTTCTCTAATAATTTCATTAAACTATGAAAGGCCAAAGCTTCCGTGCTTCGCGCGGGAGGGGGGCTGAATTCAGTCAAGTAATAAGAGTCGAGAATAGTACAACAAATCTTCTTTCTCTAATAATTAATGAAAGGGCTGAGCTTCCGCGCTTCACGCGGGCGGGAGGAAACTGAATTCAGACAAGGATTAAGAGTCGAGAATATAACAAGCGAATCGTCTTCTTTCTCTAATAATTGAATGAAAGGTCAAAGCTTCCACCATGGGCGTAGATCTGTAGTTGATACCTATATTGTTCAGGGGGGATGATCTATTCATTCATCCCCCCCCCCCCCCCCCTGAACAAATTACGTAAGGACTGACGCCCATGGCTTCCACGCTTCGCGCGAGTGGGGGGAAACTGCATTCAAACAATGATTAAGAGTCGAGAAAGTTACAACGAATCGTCTTCTTTCTCTAATAATTTAATGAAACGTCAAAGCTTCCGCGCTTCGCGCGGGAGGGGGGGGGGGAAACTGAATTCAGACAAGGATTAAGATTCGAGAACGGTACAACGAATAGTCTTCTTTCTCTAGTAATTTAATGAAACGTTAAGCTTCTGCGCTTTCCGCGGGAGGGGAAAAACTGAATTCAGAGAAGGATTAAGAGTCGATAATGGAATAACGAATCATCTTCTTTCTCTAATAATTTCATTAAACTATAAAAGGTCAAAGCTTCCGCGCTTTGCGCGGGAGGGGGGAAACTGAATTCAGACAAGGAATACGAGTCGAGAATGGTACAACAAATCGTCTTCTTTCTCTAATAATTAATGAAAGGTCAAAGCTTCCACGGGCTGGAGGCTATAGCCCCCCCCCCCCCCCCGATGAAAATGTCAAAAATTGTACCGGTATGGTGCTTCTAATATGACCTTGGAAAAACGGTCTGCGCAATTTTCAAATTTCCGGCCCCCCCTATTGGAAAATCCTGGATCCGCGCCTGCATACCGCCCCCTGAAATGAAATCCTGGCTATATACGTCTGCCCCACCCCCCATAACAAAATACCCTGGCTCCGCCCCTGGATAAAACTAATAGGCCTACTGCAAAATTACCAGTTAGGAAAATCTAAACGTGTCCATGCTCTCTAACAAAATAGATGGGCCTTCATCAGTGACAATTCAATTCAATTCAATTCAAATGAGGTTTTATTCAAGACTTGTCAAAAAAATACAAAGACTAAAAATGCTAATTTACATCAAATATTCAATCATATAAAAAAAGCATTCAAGAAAACATAGCAAATGGGGAAAAATATATAAAAATGAATAATGTTTACATCAAAACATCAAAGCAGTATTTTTAAAAAAAAGATACAAACAAAAATACAAGATATAAAATATTGCTAGCAAAAAATGAATAAAATAATGTTTACATCAAAACAAATAAAATGTATACAGAAACGTGAATTCAATTAACTGTAACATAGGAAAAACTGCGATAAAATATAATACAAATTCTATTCAGATGGTATAATGAGTATTAAAAAAGTATTAAATTTGGAGTCTTGGCAGTGTGGTAATCACAAGTGTGACATAAGTACAGTACATGTATAAACATATTGCACATGAAAAAATTGGTCACAGTTGAATAGCAGATAATTAAAGAATGTGGTACTGTAAAACATCATCAGAAGAGAAAGAGGTGAAGAGGGGGAGGGAGAGACAGAAAGTGAGAAACAGAGAGGAGGAAGGAGAGACGAAGGGAGAAAGAGGAAGAGGCAGAGAGAGAGAGAGAGACAAAGAGCTGAGAGAGAGGGGGTGGGAATGAAATATAAATAGAGAGGAAAGACCAGAACTGAAGAAGTGAAAAGGAAATTTGAAAGTAGTAAGTTCAAATAGAGAAAAGGGATGAGAGAGTGAGAGGAAGGAAAAAGTACATGCAATATCAAAATACGATTCATGAATAGAAGAACCTGCTGTGCCAATCATCATGACAGTTAACAAAGAAGGTTTGTCATCCTTAGCACAGAAGTCTACCTTTAGCCCATGGAGGCGAGTTGGCTCAGTCTGCCTGTCTGCCTGTCTGCCTGTCGAACCAAAGATCTCGGGTTCGAATCCTACCCAGGCGGATGACTGAAGCCTGCGTTGTGTGTTAACGTGCCCCGTCCCTTGTTCATAGACGCAGGTTATGTCAAGTGGAAAACACTCCGTCCCTCGGATAGGACGTTAAATGGAGGTCCCGTGTACAGGAGAGTCACCACTCTTGACGTTAAGAACCCATTGCACTATTCGTATAAGAGAAGGGAGAAACCCCGGTGTAATGGTCCACCTGCATACCCCAACCAGGCCGAGTATACGGCATCTGCAAGAATCTTCAGTATTAAAGGACTCCGAGGCAGATTATCTTGAAGAAGAAGAAGAACCCAAACAAACCCAAATTCGGATCAATATCACCCCATCTAGCGTTTGCAACACTGCTTTGTAAGCAAATTAAAAGTTATTATGTATACCATCTAAAAAGGGGAAGAAAAAAAAAAAACTTCCGTCTGGAAAGAGTAAATGTAAGACCCCCCCCCCTTACACACACACATGGGTATGCCCCACCCCTCCCTTTGCGGAGGCCCAGAAACAAACATTTCAGAAGAAAAAAAATTGGAGACTAAATATCGAGAAGAAACAACATATCAGGCAGTGGGTGTCAGATCCCCAGAAAAAGATAAATAAACATAAACACCGCCCTTTTACCAAAATCTATATCCCCCCCCAACAAAAAAAAAGTTGACCGAGAAAGCAGGGCTTCATATTTTTGATGTCTTAAATGTGGTACATTTCGATTTAGTTCAAATTTATATAATGTAATGTTGAAACTCTAATTGTCTTGAAGTTTCCAATATTTTCTTAACCGGCCCCGGCCGCCAGAAAAAAAAAAGTTATAAAGTTTAACATTCTTTTTGAGGGGTCAACACGCAGGCACGTAGCCAGAGAGCCCAGAGTTCCCTTTTTTTTTTTTTTTTTTTTTTTTTTTTGGGGGGGGGGGGCACATACATGTAATCGATCGAGGTCAAATAAGGGGTCTAAAAAAGTTCAACCGATCTTGGAAATTTTAGGAGGGGCACGTGTCCCCCCCCCCCCCCCCCCCCCCCCCCCCGTGGCTACGTGCCTGTCAACACGCCCTTACAGTCTGAAACAAGGACAAATTAGATCCATGTGTCCAGCCCTTCTACAGAAGGTTAATGAAACCAATTCCCACCCTGTCGCCAAAAAACAAACAAATAAAAATCATGGGTCTGCAGAGTTGGTTCGTACTGAAAATTGACAAGCGCATTGAATAACGTCTAGACACAACCAGGAAGTGATGGAACGCCTAAAATTGTTTCAAGAGCTTGTCTAGTTTATGTTTATTTAACTACATGACGGTCGCGATTCCTCTTTCGGGCTTGTTTCACTGATAGGTGATAGACTACGTATAATTCGTAGTGGATCGGATCAGGGAACTATTAATTTTTTTGAGTGAAAGTCAAGTTGTCGTTTATTTCTCTGCCGTTTTTGTCTTTAAAACAAAGTCCAAATATATTTGATTTGTATTTCTGCGCGCGGCACCAGAGAATCAGTGGGGCGTGTACCCATGACTAGCCCGGTGGTTGCGGCATAGAAACGGGTGAACTTCTCTTTCGTTCAAATTCCACACGCGCGGCCAGCCGGATGTTGATATATCATTCATGGACATGGTATTAAATGCTACTGCTGCGAAAATCTACCGTTCGAGCACCCTATATTCTACTCATATGGATTTCACGTCCTGAAGGATATTTGAAAACCATTCACAGATTCTGTAAAGGAAATTCGACAAACCGTTTGTGACATTGACACTGGTTTAGTGAGAGACAGGAATTGTCTTGGATTGCCTCTCGATCTCGAGCCACTTCAAGTTGGATAACTAAACACAATATTTTACAAGACAAGAAGAGGATTGGCTTAAAATAACGTGGATGCTGGAAAGTTGAGGACTACAAAATGGAAGGGAACAGACCATGCAGACATCTTGGCTTGTCGATATTAGGCCTAATTCTGGTAAGTCAAAATGCAAGATGTCTAGACTTCACTTATTTTTTTACTAGACTCTAGCCTAGACTAAAATAAAAGCTCAGGACAGACAAATATGTCTGCTTGGACTCTGGATGAGATTTTAAACATTGAGGGTCATATTTTGTCTTTTGATGCTCTCTTTTAAAACATGTAAGCAAGATGTAGGACAGGGATTATGTGAAGCCAGACATAGTCTATATCCCTAAATGAAAGACGGAGTTTTCTATCTTATCTTGTAAAGTTGTAAGTTGTACTGAGGTTAACTGAGATACATGTACTGTACGCTTGGAAAGTAAGTCACTAAGCATTACTTGGCGCGCCATAACTGGTAATGACACTCCATTCTTAGAATCTTTTGGAATGTAGATTTACATGTACATGTATGTTTGTAATTATACATAGATCTATAGACCTTCTTCTTCTTGGCTTGGCTTCCTCCAGTTTGGAGAACTGCAGTTGGTGTAGGTGTTGGTAGTACACATATAAAAAGGATAGGTAGGTTTAAAGGTGGCATCACATACATGTATATGTAGTGGAACGCTTAACATGGAGGTCAAGTATGAAACTGAGAGAGAGATTGTGAAAGAGTGAGGGGTTGATCCAGTCGGAAAGAGAGGTGTGAGAGCAGGAGCCAAGTAGCGATAGCTTTAGCTTTGTGAAGCATTCACCCTTCGTTTTCGAGTTGGAATAATGGCTCTCCCATCGTCTTGGCCAGTGAGCTATGAAGTTGTCTCTGAGAGTAGTGTACAGAGGGCACTCACCCACCACGTGGATGACCCTACACATGTATATGTAATTTCAAGTTCAACTCGAAAATCACAAGCCAAATTCAGAAAAAAATTGTAGAAGAGCCTATTGTTTTGTTGTCCTCTTTCTTTTGAGTTGGTGTTGTGGTATGTTCACATGGTCAGATTAGCCTGAAGGGCTTGTTGACTCACATGTATGAAATATATTGATACTAAAAGTTGGCAGCTCACTCAGGAAGCTATACTGGGATGATACATGAGTGGACAAAGCACTTGTCATTTTTAAGTAAAATCCATGCCAGTAAACTATAATGTGAGAGCCTACAGGAGGCTGCATCATTCTGATGAAGCGTAGAGCAGCCTCCTTGAAGTATAGGTCATTCCTTTTTGCATTGACTGCTGAGCCAGATGGTAGATGTTTCTAGATCCTTATTGTTCAATTCAATTCAATTCATTTTATTCATTTCCATTTTCAATAAAAGCAATACAAAGGTACATGTATATACAATGATAAGCATTTGCAATATATAAGAAAATGAAAATAGGGAACTAAAAAATAAGGTCAAATGGCCTTGTGGAGGCATACATGTACTAGTTCCCCGAACAGTAGTTAAGAGATTTATATACAAACAAAACTAAAAAGGAAACATACGTGACAAAACATGACAGGGACATCGTTCATGGCAGGTAATACAAATGGAAACGGTCTTCTTGGATAGATTAGTAGGAAATCTTGAAGGAGTCAATCATTGCATCATGAATTACATACTTCGGGTTGTGGTCCTGTCTTCTGAAGTAACTGTATGTAGCAGGGATGACAATATATGGGTTTGGGTCTGGAGACAAGACAGTGAAGAATCTTGGTGATGAATCAGTCAATGTGTACGACCAATGTGGGACACTATCTCTTAATATTTGGGAGACTATATACATGACGGTACATGTAGTATGTATGTCAGAGACTTTGACAAGATTTTGGTAGCCTACATGTACATGTACATGTATGTGGGATACAAATTTAATTAATTTTCATTTGCTGCAAATTTATTACCTTGGGTCAAAATAAAAATATGACTCCTCATGAAAAAATACCTGTGAGTGTCTACAAATTTATTTTAAAAATTCAGTCTACTTTATTGCATGTTTTCATATCAGTTTTTAAATCCAAAGTTCTTGTGGCATAAAATAATGAGACCCAAAGATGAGACATGTTTTCTAAAATTGTCACCAAACTTTGCCCTAAAAGTGAATTTCTATACGAGATGTGAAGTGTGTACTTCGATAATGTAAATGGATCGAAAAGTGATTAATCATTAATGTACATGGGAATCTATGTAGACAGGTGTTTACTGCATACATGTATGTTTACAGTATGTGTACAATAAACTGTACAGGCATTAGATTCCATGTGTGTGCTTCAGCAACCCACAACACAGATGGCTATTACTGTAAGCGCCTATTTTCCACCATAAATTTACAACGTTTAGATGTGCAAAAATTAATTACTGTACTTATCGTACAACTAATACTGTTTAATACAGCCAACATGTTGTTGTAATGTGCAGGATGGAGAGGGAGGGGGGGGGGTATAATTTTATTTCTGCAAGGTCATCAATCAACGTCAATTTGTTATTGATTTCTTGATAGAGTCTCAACGAGCTGCACAGTCCTCTAGGCTGATATTCTTCAAAGAGAAACTTTTACGATCATCTTGTATTTTCCCTTTGAACATCTTGTATTGCCTGACTTTTGCGACCAATTTTTTTTATTTTTATGTCATTTGCAATCATCTGACACTGACAGCCAATTTTGGTTGCCCTTGCTGGTTATCCCCTAACAGCAATAAAGAAGAAAAATACAAGGGAGCAGTGAGAAAATTGCACTTACAAAATGCAAAGCTCCCATGAGCAGAAAAGTATTTTTTTACACCAGCAGTTTGATAAATTCTAAATCTTCATTCTAAGGGCGCGTTCATGCTTGATTTTGACGGCCAGAATCAGGCATCTGTTAAGCGTTTAGGTTAAAACACGCTTGCGTTCATGCTCACTTTTGTAGAATCACCGAAAAACGGCGATCACGATCGCTGATCGTAAACTCACAAAAAGATGCGTTTACAATTTGTAAACGCGTTTAAATGTGGTCAACGCACTGACCTCTAGTGGGTCTACGTAGCATGCGCACACAGGTTTGCGAATCCAGCTGAAGGCCACCCAAGGAGAATTGCCTGGAGAAGTGAGCATGAACAGTGCACCGTGGAACTGCGATTACGATGAGCGTTACAAATCGCTCATTCTGCCTTCAAAATCAAGCATGAACGCGCTCTAAGTCTTTTAAAGGGAGGCTTTACTACTTCAGCCAGAAGGGATTAGACCACAAAGCGAGCCATCGAGGTCACTGTGACAGGTGGTTATCTCATTAACTCAGCTCTCATTTAACATAAGAAAAAGAGGATCATGGGTGACCAACAGGCACCGATTGGGGAAGTTTTCTATATAGAGGGAGCAAGTACTGTAGCTACAAGTAGGACAGTGTGCCTTTAAAGCATAGTACATACAGTTTAAAATACATACATGTACATTACTACAGTTTTGATACAAGAATTATTATGATGGACCACAACATGGTCTCTTTGAAAAATTCTTTGAAAAAAAAAATCAAATCTTGTGTACTGTACACCTGTATACTGTTTGTTGTTTTGCCATATGAATAATGATAATTGTAATATTGATAATAATGATAAAAATAGTGATGAAAATAATGATAATAATGAAAGTGATGATATCAATGATAATAATGATAATGATAAAATACATGTAATTAAATTCTGAAATAAAGTGAGGTTTAATTTACACTTGGGAAAGTATCAGACAAAATCATATACAGGACTACAGGTACATGAAACGTAAATAAATCATACATAAACATTGTGTGATTTTCAGGTACAGAAGCAGGACATGCATGCAAGTTTACACCCTCAGTATGAATTTGATTTCACCGTTTGCCATTAAAGAGTTATCTTTAATCGACGTGATGTCACTGTATTTGCTAAGGTTGTGATAGGGTATTGACTGAGGGTGGATACCCTGTTTGCTCGCATCAGTAGGCCTGTCTTCACTAGCTCGAGATTGCCAAATATCCCGCTATTTGAACTATCCCGATCGCAAACTATCCAGCTAATTTGTGTCCTCATCAGCCCGAAGTTGCAATTAGTGGGATATTTGGTCGGGATTGTCATCCCAAGATATCTTGGGATAGTTTGCAAAATATCCAGCTATTTGTCCGGTGCGTCCTCACCAAACCGAAGACTCGCACAGTCGCACTAGGCGTGTCTGCACTATCTCGAGATTGCCAAATATCCCGCTATTTGAACTATCCCGATCGCAAACTATCCAGCTAATTTGCGTCCTCATCAGCCCGAAGTTGCAATTAGCGGGATAGTTGGTCGGGATTGTCATCCTTAGATATCTTGGGATAGTTTGCAAAATATCCAGCTATTTGTCCGGTGCGTCCTCACCAGACCAAAGACTCACACTATGCGCAAACGCTGAGCAAAATATCTCAAGCTAATTTCTCAAGGTCGAGTTTCAATTTTTGAGGTCAAATCTCGAGCTGATGAAGACGCGATTTGTAACTTCAGGATTATTTCCAAAATCATACCCCCTGTCCAAACACAACATTTTCCGTGATTAGGCGTGATTAGCTATACCGTTTCGCGATAGTTTTACGATGAAAATTGTGTGTGTGGACGCTCACTAACGATACGTCGTATATCGAAACTATTCTAACGAAACCCAGGTTTGGGCATCGTTTCGAACTGAAACTCAATAAAGAATCACGCCTAATCACGCCTAATCACAGAAAATGTTGCGTGTGCACAGGGGGAGTGTAACTAACTGGGCGGGGCTTAACGTGACCTCGAGCGAAAGGAGACCAGACCTCTCATTTCCGCTTCCATTTCATGACCGCAGTAGCAAACTGCGCACCTACATGTATACGTCATTTCGCTGTAGAGTTTCAGGATTACTTTTTTCTGTGTGCGGACATCCTGGTATTTATACGATGATTATTTATACGACGTTTCTTGTGTGTGGACACTCTGAAATTTATACGATGATTCTTTATACGACGTTTCGTTATAGAGTTTCGGGATAAATTATTTTGTGTGTGGACAGTGTCCACTGGACACGCTGAGAAATAGCGGGCTATTTGGCAATCTAGAGATGATGAAGACACGCCTCA